TAATTTGGTAATGATGATATTTTATTATTATTATTTTTTTTTTAAATTGAAATATTTATTTTCCTAAATTGGACTAGATATTAGCATAAGTTGGGAAAAGAACTAACATATAAATGCTACGAACAAATAATTCTAGGAGGGATTGTTCGTCTTCTTAGGCTTTGACTATAAGTGAGCTGTTTCTCGCTAAATCTCTTAGCAACGAATAATAAGACGGGGATAATGAAGTGAAATGAAAAAGGTTTTTTTTTTTTCTTTTTCAGATAAAAAATTCTCATTTGAAACTACACAATATGCAGAGAGATCTTAGCAGAAACGTTTTACAGTGTGTTGCCATGTATATGAAAACTAATGCATAGGCCCCGTTTGAGTCACTTTATTATCTCATTAAAATGAAAAATATGACCGTTATCCATCACATCAACATTTAAATTCAAATTTTCTATCTCTTGTGTGGGCCCCAATAACGACTATATTTTTCATTCTTATTCTACAATAATTTGGTTCAAACATGCCTTAAATTAATCCCAGCCCAAAACTAACAAAACTTTCGAGCCCATTTAATAAATAATACTTTTTACCAAACCTAAATCACAACCGCTCTATTGAGTATTTGAATTGAAACTCCACGGCCACCAATTCAACCTTCCGTTGTGTCGCCCCCTGCTTCGGTCTCCAGACGGTAATCGCACCAGCCAGTAGCCACCACCTGAAATTTTCTGTGAATTGGATATATCTATTGTTGTTCACATACATTCAGTTAGTAATTTCTTTCACTTTTGCTGATATTCTTTTTCAAGTGTGATGTTTCTCAAATTGTTTTTTTAGCTATTTGGGGATGGGGAATCGGGTTTGGCTGTTTGGGTGGCGATCGTGCCTTGGGGTGGGTGGGACTAGTTTGAGCGAATTGGGAGATGGCCGAATTTAGGGCTGCAAATGTATATAAATTTACCAATTTTCCATTCCTTAAGTTACTTTTAGTTGTGAGGGTTTTATAGTATCTGAGCGAACTTTTCCTTTGGCTAGTTTTGTTCCAAATATTTTTTTTTTTTTGGAATTAGGCACTCGAGAATGTTCCAAAGATTATTAAAATTATTCTAATATTTGCTCATTATTTATTAACAGTTTTGCAAAGATGATGACAGGAATTCGGTAAGTTTTTTCTTTTTTAGTTCTCTAATACGCCAGAATGGATTTTCCATTGTTGAGGAACGATTAATTATTTTATTTTTAAATTCCATGAACTGAAAAGTAATATTTTTTCTACTTTTCCTGCTTTTTTATTTGATTTGAAGGGGAATGATTACAACAACAGCTTCAAGGGTTGTACCTTTGGCCATTGGTTCTACCTTCTGTAGTTACCATTTAACCCACTCCGTCATCCGTACTGGCCTCTCTGGGAAGCTCTTTCACAGATTGTTTCCTTCATCTCTTCATTACTACTCCACCAAGTCGACCTTCAAGGAGTTATTTATGCGAGGGCAAGAGGAGAAGAAGGTTCACTTTTTAAATTGGTTTTTACTTTCTGCTTTGTAGCCATTATTGATTTTCATGTAAGAATGTATTTGATGGAATAACTACTATTGTTTCAATTTTTACGTAGTTTGAGAAGTCTCCAAAGCTCTTCCACTCTACAATTGAAGAACGATCCAACCAGCAGACTTTACTACTAACTAGTAAATACAAATTTGAAATCTTGAATGTCGAAGTTCACGTGCCTGATGTCTCTTTCTTTGATGAGGATGCTGCTCAAGGTGAAGAAGAGGTGCCCTTTTTTCGTGTGGAAGACGATTATTACAATTATTGTATGGAAAAGACAGAACATTTTAGTATACCTTTTGTTGCTAAAGTCACATATGATATTGGGAAAGGGTTGTCTTTTAAGTTAAGGTGTACTGCCTATCATGACAAGATCTCTTTGGACTGCTTGACTAAAAATAATTGTGCATCTTTCAATCAAACAGATAAGTAAGGTTCTTGTATCCTGTTTATTTTGATTATGTATTTCTCTCAATGGTCTGTCATTGTAATATGCAATTTGGTATTCTGGTTTTCAGTGACATGATTGCAACTCTGCACAAGACTTATCTTATGTATCTAAAAGTCAGAGGAATTACGCCAGACATAATCTATTACTTGCATGAGTTGAAGGTTGAACTAAATAAAGTCAAACGGAGTTTTGCTGAAGAATCTCAAAAGCTTCCCCGTAGGTCTATAAACTCTGAAGAGCTGTACCGGCTATTTGTTTCATCTCTTTTTGATTACTGCCGCAGGTGGCGCTTTGATGTACATACACTACTCGATGAGTCCAATTCAAAGAAAAAGCAGGTTCAATTTTTAATTTTTTTTTAAGATTCTTCATGGTAGCCAAATAAATTTAGGAATGGCAATGGGGGCAAGATGTGAGATTCATAAAATACTGTACCCGCCATTAGATTTTCACTGGGCGTGAATTTTGTTCTCCATATTTAAGTTATAGGAGATGTTGGATTATCATTTTTGGTAAAATATATTTTTTTCTCTCTTCTTTTCAACTTCACATTTTTCATTATAATAATATTACATGCAGATAAAAAAAAATTTCTTTTTTAACCATACATTCTCTATCAATCTACTATTCCAAAATACATTTTTTTTTTCAAAAATAATGAGGCTCAAACACCATCATAATATGGACGTAGGTGTAGTATAGCTTCTTTATTTTTTAAATATTTATCCCTCATTCTATAAGAATGTTATTTTTTTATTTTTTTTAACTAATTGTTAACCATACATTTTTTCAATAAAATAATTTTACATGTAAATCAAATATTTTCCGAACTTTTTAACCACACATTCCCCATAAATCACTATTACAAAACCTATTTTTTCAAAAAATAGGGCTCAGGCACATCCTTAAGTTTGTTTCTCTTAAGAAAATGATTGGAGTCGATGAGTATTTTGTGATTGAATTTGCATTTGAATAATAGAATAAAGGGTAATGCTACATGTACACACACACTTTTACACAATTTTNTATGGGTAATGCTACATGTACACACACACTTTTACACAATCTTTTACACCTCTCTCACATGAAGGGGGGTCCACGATTATTTTATTATGTGTGGGCCCCCTTCCATGTGAGAGAAGTGTAAAAGATTGTGTAAAAAATTGTGTACACTTAGCATTATTCTAGAATAAATTCATTTGTAGCAAATGATTATTTAAATTATAATATGGAAGGTGTAATATAGCTTTTTCTTAATGTATATATTTGTTTCTCTTATGAAAATGATTGGAGTATATTATTATTTTGTGATTTAATAGACGTCAGAAATAATAGAGGAAATGCATCTAGTGTTATTTTTAGGCCATGTTATTGGTGGAATCTATTATAGATCCCTCTTTTTTCTCAAAATGTTAGAATATGCACAAATGTTACACATTGTGGAACTTTTTACTGTTTCAATGGTTTTATTGAGCTATGTTTTGTTGAACTTGATGATTTCATGGTACTGATTATATTAATTACATTGCAGCATGTATAAATTGTTGTACTTACAGGGGGTTTTATTGGCCATCTTTATTGTGTTACCATTTTATTTGCTTGTGTCAATTTGGCATCGTTTTCTGTTCTGTATTCCTAACTACAGCATTATTTCATCCATTTCAGCTGAACAAATGCATGTATTTTTTGAGCCGGAAAGACAAAATCGAAACAATTGATGTTGAAATTCTTAATGCTGGTGACGTTAGTGCTGAGTCGAGCAATGATAAGACACAGGAGAACCTATCCGTTGTCTTTAGTATCTCAATAAGGGGATTGTTTTTATCGTTGTATTGTACTGTTTATCCCGACAAGATTTCTCTTGAGAGCTGGAGTGTTGAAGAAAATAGTGATCGTCATTCTAGAATACCTTATCGAGGCTCCTTATGTAGGGTATCTATTGGTTCTGGTGATGATGAATTACAGGATGAGGATTCCTTGTACTGAGGATCTCATATAGTGTGGTAGTAGTTGCGGCTTTATATATTATTGCTTACTAATAGTAAGTACTTGTGTTGTACGTTTTATATATCGGATGAATGATATTTGTAATATTTTTTAAGTAATACTAATATTGTTTTTGAAAGTAATAATTGATATTGTTAAAGTAATAATTAAATTGTTAAAAAGAATATATATGAATAAAACTTTTTATGAAATTATGTATATATTGTGAAAATGGTGAATAAACTCAAATGTAATATTTTGATTACAATAATGCTTTTTTGTAAACTAGTTCTTTTTTGTTTTTTTTTTTTTTGTCAACGTATATAGCTTTTCTTTTCTTCTTTTCTATCTTTTGGTTTAACCAAAATCTTTGTTGTTTGTATTGAAACTTTGCGAGAAAGTGCGAGGTATACTTTCCCATGAGAGTGCATGTGGTTGCCAAATATTTTTTAAAAATCTGATCTTCAAACCCATTAGTTTACCTTCAAAGATTTATGTTATATTTTATTTTACCGAATCTTTGTATCAATAGTCATTGATCATCTAGAAAATGGTTACTTGTATCCTTATGTTCAATTAATGAAGGCCGTAGAAGTACTCTTTCCCAATTGTGTCGACTTGTGTTCTCTGTGAAAATCAAGCATTGTTGTTTCTATTATTATTTAAATAACAACAAACTATTGTAGTAGTCATCCAGTTAAGAAAAGCCTTGATTTGACATTGTGCCTTATCTGTAACTTGTTGCATTATTCAGGACAAGAAAGGGTTTTAGAGTACCAAAACTATTTATCCATCGTCACATAATTTTTCTCACTTATTTTCTTGCTTTGGTCTAAAACTCTCATCCGTAAGTATCAATTCAAAGAAAAACTTTGATTTTCCAATTTTTCAATTTATGCAGTCTAATATATATTATGGATTAAATTTATGGAGGAACAACTTTTACCATTCATTTTATAAAAACCTATCAAACTTGTATATAAAATAATAAATAATTAACAACCTCATAAATATGATATTGATGGCTATATATGCTAGTTAAGGCCTCGTTCGGGAGTGATTAAAA